GAGAATATATATTGTTTTAGTATTTGGTGTATTATTATAGGTTTAAGAAACTTTTAAATAGTAAAGTTACATATTTTATTCATTAATCAAACATTTGTTCTTTGATCCGCAAATATAAACTAAATACAGTATAAAATTAATGAGCAGCTTTTGGAGCATCCTTTAATTCCAGTAATGATTTTTCAATTGAATCAACACCCTTTAATAAGTCAGTTTCAGATATAATCAAAGGTGGTGCCAATCTGATGATATGGTCATGGGTGGGCTTAGCTAAAACACCATGGTCTTTCATCAACAAGCAGAGATCCCAGGCAGTTCTACCGTTGGTTTTGGAGTCATCAATTACAATGGCACACAATAAACCTTTACCTCTAACTTCTGAAATAACGCCATTCGACTTAGCTTTTAATTCTTCTAATTTAGAACGTAATAACTCACCTAGTTTATTGGATCTGTCAACTAAGTTCTCGTCCTTGACGACTTGTAAAGCTGCAGTGGCCACTCTACAAGCCAATGGGTTACCACCATAAGTGGAACCGTGCGAACCAGGTTCTAAGCACAACATGATTTTCTTGGAGGACAAGACCGCAGAAACTGGCATAACACCACCAGAGATTGCCTTACCCAACAAAATAACATCTGGTTTGACATTAGCAGAATGTTCATAGCATAACATTTTCCCGGTTCTAGCAACCCCGGTTTGAATTTCATCACAGATTAACAAAACATTGTGCTTCTTACATAAAGCTTGCACTTTTGTTAAATAATCTTCTGGTGGAACCACAATACCAGCCTCTCCTTGTATTGGTTCCAATAAAATTGCGGCAATCTTATCACCAGCATTGTTGAACGCCTTTTCAACATCTTCAATTTTCCCATATCTCAATAAGGTTCCCTTTGGTTCGCCAGGAATCTGAGGGCCTACTCCTTGTAAATAAGGTCCGAACTTGGAGGTAGCTTCTGGATCGGTCGACATTGAAATAACCCCTAATGTTCTCCCGTGGAAATTGTTGACCGCCGACAAGATAATTGCCTCGTCTTCAGGAATGCCCTTTTCAACGTAACCCCATCTTCTGGCCAATTTCAACCCAGTTTCAACCGCTTCGGCCCCGGTGTTCATAGGCAAAACCATCTCATAGTCAAAATACTCGGTGATGTATTTGGCAAAAACCCCAAACACGTCCGACGAAAATGCTCTCGAACATAACGTCAATTTCGAAGCCTGGTCAACCAATGCTTCCACGATCTTAGGGTGACAGTGCCCTTGATTAACTGCCGAGTACGCAGACAAAAAATCGAGATATTCCTTCCCTTCTGGATCCCACACATGCGCACCCTTAGCCTTGGTGAATACCACTGGCAATGGGTGGTAATTGTGCGCTGAGTAATCGGTTTCGTACTTGACAGAAACCTCTGATGATATGTTAAAGTTTGGACTTGTCATTTTAATCCTAGTTATTCTATTATTGACTACATAGGATTCTTTTTTCAGACGTCCATGCTAAAGTACCCTGTTTATATATATTTGGCTGTCTCGGCTTCAATTGCCCAATCAACCTGGGGCCCCTCCAATCGGTCTTTATTTCACTTTAGGGAATCGTACCCATTTTTCGTGAGTAATGGTCTTGAATACACTCATTCAAAAGAGTATCCAACCGCGAAGGAATCATAAGGCTAGGGAATAGGCGGATGTTTCCTAATTGGGAATAATTAGAAATAGAAGGAATGTGCGTGTATATACCACCAATATAGGCACCTTGAGAAGAATAGCTTTAAGATGATCAACCACTATACTGTTACTGGAGATAAGAAATCACTATCGAATAGTTAGGCTAGCATTTTAACAAAGGAAAATGGATACAGCAGATTTCAAGAGAGCAGCAAACCAAGGTATCGCACCACAGCATGAGAACAGCGACATTGCTTCTTTATCAACGCTAGGGATGAGAATAAGGAAATCGGTTGCAGATGGTTATAACGTACCATCTAACAACTATAATGGATATAATGCATATGATCGTATGGGATACGCTAGTAATGGAGAATATGGAAGAGTTGAACCTAAGGCCATTGGTATATTCGGGAGTAATCAGAATGGAAGCAATATAGATTATGAACCGGCCAGAGTACCATTACCTACCCATATGAGTCAACCACCGGCATTGACTAATGCTGGATCTACTATTGGAACATGTTCGAATTTGTCTGAATGGGAAAACAATTATGCAAGCCATGCGCCGCCTATCAGCACATTGGGAGTCTTTGACCAGGGTACAAAGGGAAAGAGGAAGTTTGACGACATTGATGAGGATGCAGTTACATATGGCAGCGGTGCTAGTGCTGGTTACGGTGCTATATCCCCCAATACGAACTATGATATGGGTACAGAATATTACCGGGCAAAATATGGCGAGTTAAAGTTCGACGAAGATTTCTAAAGCCGGTGTGCATTCCATTCAGTTCAGTTTGTAAATTAAGTTGAAATACGTTATTTAGCTACGATTTTGTATATGTTGTTAAAGGAGTGATATCCAATAGCCTATCGAAAAAATGATCATGTAGTCTCCAGAGACTCCTAAGAGTCCTGACACGCTAACTTAAAATTTTAGATAATTTCAATACCGCTATATGTCAATGATGTTATAAACTTGGCTCTTTTGTTGAGCATATTATGGCTCTATCGTAATAAGTCTTAGCAGTGCCTTACCTCTAAAGTGTTAAACCAATATATTTATATACAGGTCTGTTCTATTCAGCTGATCCTAATGTAAAATTTGATACTGAATAGCAATATCTATTACACTATTTATTTATACACATATTTAAAGACGAAAGATAGTAGTATTGTTTACATTATAGAAGTTTTTCTGAAGGGAGATATAGTTATGGGAAAAAAGCTTGCTGTTTGGTGAAAATGATGTTTAATAATATAGGGTATCATTTTTTACTACCCTTTAGAAATCTCACAACTCAGGCAAGATTTCTACAAATAATTAGGCTTTTCACTTGTATTGCCACATTAACATTTATCATTGCAACATTAATAGGCTCCCTTGCCAATAGGAATATATATATTGCAAGAATTAATTGTGCCCGTTTAGATGTTGCCCGTGGTTTATATAATAGTTTGAGAAGCTCCGTGTCTTTATCCTCAACTATTCTTGGCGATTCGGAGGATAATGTACTACCTGTTGATTCATCGTTAACTAATTCCGAGATATCAGTGTTAACCTCATATGCTGAAAATCAAGTTGCTGATGCCCCCCAATATATTGTTACCTCCTTATGGAGCTGGTGCTACGGTAACTATAACATCTCACAACACATGGACAGATATGGTGTTGTTCGTATAGATAAGCATAACGATGTCCTTACTTGCTCAAAGTCGACGAAGAGGTATATTTTTGATTACAAGGAAGAATTAGAATCGATAGGTTTACAGAGCATTTTAGCATATGCGTACCAGTCTTCGGATTTGAATGATAAAAAATACCAAGAGACAGTAGCCAAAAGAAATAATAAATACAAGTTAGTTCCATCCGGTTTGATATTTGGAGCTAGTTCCCAGCTAGTTGTATTAATATTTGGCTATATTTTATACAGCAATAGGGGCCCGGAAAAAAATCTCAATAAGATTCCTGTTTTTGTCATGAATATTATAGCTTTGATATCTGTTGCCTCATTTCTAAGTTTAGCTGTATCCAGTTGTCTCATAACTAATTTATTGATTGAGATTAGGGGTGAAATTAAATCTAACTTGGAAGATTATGGAATTGCATTACATCTTGGCGATATTTGGTTCCTGTTATTGTGGTTGTCTTTTACGTTTTCATTACTTTCAAGTGTTTCTTGGACTTTCCCTCTATGGTGTGCCAATCCACCGGATTTTGATGAAGAGGACGACTTTGATGGTGTTCGCTATAGATCTGATAATATAAGTTACAACGAGGAAGCAGGAATGTCAGACTTAGACGGTTTTAGACGTAATCAAAGTGTTTCAGGTAAATATAATAGATTCAACAAGACAAGCGCGAATATATCTAGTGGTGTTCAGTATAATGCATCTGCAGATAATGGTGCCAAAAATGATAATGATGTTGAAGAAAGAGACTTTTCTGATGATGATGACCATGAATACGATACTGATTATGTCTATAATGATGCTACTAATAGAAAATATGATGCATATGGTGCTAGAAATGAAGACGAGTTACGAAAACTCGGAGAAACATTGTCAAGAAAAATGTCCGTTCGCCGTCTAAACAGAAATCTTTCTAAGAAAAGCCGTAAGTCATACCTCCATGATGCAAATCATCCAATATTTGAAGATGAATCAAGTAACTTATTATATCACGACGTCAATATCAATAACTCACAGTATCCAATGACAGAGTCGATGGCTCACCATTATAGAGAGGAGACCTTTGATGGCTACGTAAATAGTCACAAGCCAACTACGAGTGCCAGCACTATGTCCCTTGGAACGTCAAAAAACCTAACTAGTCATATTAATAAAATTAGAGAAGAGGGTAATAATACGCCTACTCGGAATGCATCAGATAAATCTGTTGATAAAAGAAAGAATAATAAAGAACATGATTCAAACTTTAGGTCTAATTCACTACAAGAGAGACATTTCCAGCATAATACTAGGAACAATCCATTTTTACAGAGTGATACAATTGAATCCTTAGAAAATAAAAGATACTCCACAGGTGATTCATTTTTGAATTTTGACGAAATGGAAATCCTAGATAATAACAATTATATAAATAGACTTTAATCACGACTAAGCCAATATACACACTTCATCAGACTCACTTGTAATTTATTATGCAAAAACCGTTTTGAATTATGAACAATAGTTCCTTCACATAGAATCATCAATATTTACATTCGGAAATTTTTGTGCGCTATAATTTTGCATTAAATGTTTATGTTTGTGAGTCAAGATAATTGATAAAAGCATTCCTTACTTTCTTACAGCCATAGATGCAAATATGATATACGATAGGTCCCAGGATTCAGAAAATTCTCACTCTAGTTTATTTGACAGCTCCAATTCCACTTTGAATATCTCAGAGAAACAGATAGAACTTCAAGACTTTAACTTGGGCGATTGTTTACCTGAAGCAGAACATATGGACAAAGATGAAATATCCCCTTCATTCCGTTTAGGTCTACCAAATTACGAGGATACTGTAAATTCGTCATTGATGGGGCAATACTCAAACTCAAACGATGGCTTTCCTTCGGAAGAAGAACCAACGGGCACTTTAAATATAAGGACCGGAACTATGAATTTTGCCAAATCCATTTGGAGGATGTTTTGTATTGCAATTATATTGCAAGCATTCTTAGGCTTTTCATATATGATGTTTCTTCCTCAATTCTCCCTTCAGTTTAGAGATGATTCGCCTGAAGCTCGAAGATTGTTGTCGAGTATCTCAGAAGGCTTAAAAATGATATCTTACCTCGCCAAGGACCTAAGTGTGACTTTAAACGATAATAACAATATCTTGAATGATATAAACTACATTGATACCATAGACACATTTTCAGACAATTATATTTATCAATTCAACGCAATTCAATACTGTAAGTATAATATAGTCAACACTACTACAGAATGCGTATCCACGAATGGATTAGATATCTTTACTAGTCTAGTAACAGATATTGGTCTACAGTTAGGAAATGTATCCAAAGCAGAAGATCCCAGCAAGCTTGCTACGTCATTGGTGACTACTTACTCTAATTTAGTTGACTCGCTTGACGAAATGAGAGACAGTAACACAAGCCATACGTTCGCTTTGGCTCCTATAGATTTCAAAACTATCAAAATAGCTCATAGTCTCAAAAAGTCTCAAAACTATGGAAAAATGATGACATACTTAGCGTCACCTGTTAATTTTATGCATCCTATAATATGGATGATACTCGGTTTATCATGTTTCACATTGTCTGGTACAAGTAAATTTGCAACCTTTAATCAAAGGAATTTATTTGGTTATTCTATTATTATATTGGTATTCTTGGTTCTTTGCTTTGGAATTACTTTCTTTAACTGGGCAAGCACTACATGGTACTTTTACCGAATTAATAACCTGATAAATAAAGTGAATATCGCTCGATTTTTTTTGGATACAGGGTTCATTATTCTAACATCATGTGTTTCCCTTTATGCTGTATTATTGTATCAACTTACACAGATCCTACGTAGCAAAAAATAGCATATATTACTGTACTAGCTTTTTATTTTGTAGTGCGAATCAATTTTTGCGGCTATTTGCTTTTCTAGTGGCTTGTCAAGCTAATATAATATTATAGTCAACCATAATGAAGATATAAAGAAGAAACTTTTTCTATTTATTATATACTAGGAGATTTCGTAATATTTGTATAAGACGTATAACTTTTCTAATTTTTTTCGATTTTTCGATTTTTTCGTAATAATTTTGAATTTAATGCAAATTATTGAAGGAAATATTATAAATTAGCTAATTAACTTTGACATTAATATTTACTAAATCTTAATCATGTCATTACAATTCATTCATTTTTTTTATTATATTAGAGAATTATTAGAAACTACTTAAGAAGACTCATAAACGGTTTTGAAGGCTTGTTCGAAATCACCAATAATATCATCAACAAATTCTGTACCTACAGAAACTCTAATTAAGTCCTTTGAGACACCAGAAGCAGCCTTTTCTTCATCGCTTAATTGTTGATGAGTAGTATAGTATGGTGCAATGATTAAAGTCTTGGAATCACCGACATTAGCCAAGTTGGAAGCAACTTTCAAGTTATCAACAAATCTTGGACTTGCCTCTTGGAATGGATCTTCCTTGTTTTCGCCCAAATCCTTAACACCAAATGATAAAACACCACCATAATTTTCTTTGTTATTTAAGTATTTCTTACTTCTTTCATGGTATTCGTGGGATGGTAAACCAAGGTACGAAACCCATTCAACGTAAGGAGATTTTTCAAGAAATTGAGCTAATTTCAAAGCATTGTATGATTGTCTTTCAACACGTAATGACAAAGTTTCTAAACCTTGTAATAATAAGAATGAACCAAATGGGTTCAACGCTGGACCCAAATCTCTTAATAATTCAATTCTAACATGTCCAATAAAAGCGGCTTTGCCTAAAGCGTCATTTAAGACTAAACCATGGTAACCTTCAGATGGTTTAGAGAATTGTGGGAATCTTTCTGGGTATTTTTCCCATGGGAAGTTACCAGAATCGATGATGACACCAGCGATAGTAGTACCGTGACCTCCAATCCATTTGGTAGCCGAGTGTACGACAATATCAGCACCGTGATCTATTGGATTAATCAAATAACCCCCAGCACCGAAAGTGTTATCCACAACAACTGGTATACCATGATCATGGGCTAACTTTGAAATTGCTTCAAAATCTGGAACATTGTACTTTGGATTTCCAATTGTTTCGATGTAGATCGCTTTAGTCTTTTCATCAATAAGCTTAGCGAAGTCTTCGACCTTATCCCCATTAACGAATTTGGTTTCGATTCCTAATCTCTTAAAAGCAACCTTGAATTGATTGTAAGTACCACCATATAAGAACGATGTAGAGATGAAATTATCTCCCACATGAGCAAGACCTGCAATTGCTAAGAATTGGGCAGATTGACCGGACGAGGTAGCCACTGCACCAATACCATGTTCCAAAGCAGCCATTCTTTGTTCAAATACATCGTTAGTTGGATTCATAATACGTGAGTAAATATAACCAGGGGTTTCTAAACCAAACAATTGAGCACCATGCTTGGAATCATCAAAAACATATGATGTACTAGCATAAATTGGGGGCGCTCTTGGTTTGTGGGGCTTTTCAACTGGTTGTCCAGCGTGCAATTGAAGTGTATCGAAATGTGATGGCATTATGTGTTTGTTTATATACTCAAAATTTTAATACGAGAAGTACTCTAGCTAAAGTTAATGTATTTATACCTCTTTAGTATGACACCATAACACCGATTATTTTATTTCTTGTAAAAATGTTGCAATTTATGTGAATAACACGTGATAGTATTAATTTGACATTGATAGGTATGATTTACTTCTTATCGGAGTTACTTAAATGTTAGTTGGTCATTGCGGTCACAGAAGAACGTTGAAAAGTAATAATGTTTATGTGTTCATAGGTCGGTCAAATTTGCTGGAGGTTTGATTCAAATATTCCAACGCACTTTTCTTCTAAATGTTTACGAACACAATCAGAACAATAGTTGGACGAGATTTATGACCAAAGAGTACAAGCAGTGTAAAGGGATCACGGCCAAAGGGATACAATGCAAAATAAATGCTCCTGATGGATATTGTCATTATCATATAGGGCAGCGTGGAAAAGGGAAAAAAATAGATTCAAGCCCAGCGAAGGTTAGAATCAATGGAAACGGAAGGGAAATAATACATGGAAGTCCAGTATCACGAGGTACAAGCCCGACGAAACAGACAGAGAAAATCGGCTACATATATGTCTACACATTAACTCGATTATTGAGTAACAATGATAAGAATTGGTCTCTTAAAGTTAGGAACTTGCCTAACGTGTCCACTAAACACAGAGATACCTGGATTCCATTTAAGTCCGAAAAATCCCCTTACATGCTTATCAAAGTCGGAATGACGACGCAAACTGTACAGCGCCGGTTGAGACAATGGCAAGACAAATGCCACCATGAGTTGACGTGCTTGCATCCACAGAAAAAGAATGAATCGTCTAATAAACTTGATCTGATAATTCACAGATTTAAAGGCTTATCCATAAAAAAGCAGCCGGGGAAACTTCAAACATACAACGACGACCAATTCGGATTTCTTTGTCCTAGGGGCGTCAATGTAGCCGAATCTGAGATCCATAAAATGCTTATTGCAAAGTATGGAAGTGGAGACGTATATTGCACTGGATGTAAACAAAACTCGCCAATTGAAAACAGTTCAAAATTGAAAACGCTTAAAGATAGACTACACACTAAGGATCCCTTTCAAAATGGGTATAATATTCATATTGAATGGTTTTTAATACCCAAGAAAGATCTCGATAGAGTTTATCAATTAATAGACATGGTATGCTCTAAATACTACAACTAACTCGTATATAAAAAACTTTTATTTTAGAATAATACACTAACACTAACTATTTCGAAGTAAGAACTCAAACGTAAAAAAGATACCACGAACGGATCTAAGTGTTCATATAAGTAGATGGATCAACACCTTCTTCAGGGAACTCAGTAATTTTAACATCGAATCTAGATTGAATTTTTTCTAAGACTTCTTCGTCATCCTTGGTAGAAACTAAAGAAATAGCTAACCCTTTAGTACCGAATCTACCAGCTCTACCAACTCTGTGTAAGTATTGGTCCGCTTCATTTGGTAAATCGTAGTTAATGGCTAAGTTAATTCTTTCGATATCAATACCTCTACCAAAGACATCAGTAGAAACACAGATACGCTTGTTGAATTCCTTGAAAGACTTGTATCTTTCAATTCTTTCCTCTTGTGGTAAACCGGAATGAACAGCAATAGATGGGAAATTAGAAGAACATAATAACTTGTTTAATTCGTTAGCTCTTTGGGTGGATCTGACAAAAATAATGACTTGATTGAATTCTAAAGAATCTAACAAATCAGACAACTTTCTATTCTTTTCCTTTTCATCTAATTTAATATAGTATTGCTGTAAACCATGTAAGGTCAACTTAGCTTCATCATCAACATAAATTTCCAATGGGTTTTGCATAAATTTCTTACAAACTGGACGGATTTCTTGCGATAAAGTAGCAGAGAACATCATAACTTGCTTTTGGTGAGGAGTGTTACGGAAAATGTCTTGAACGTCTCTTCTCATGTCAACAGCTTCCAAGACTTTGTCACATTCATCAATAACAAAAGACTTGATGTTGTTTAAACGGATGGACTTTTCAGTGACTAAAGCGTGTAATCTACCAGGAGTAGCAACGACAATATGAGGACAAGTATCTTTGTTCTTCAATTTTTCTAAATCTCTGGTAATTGGGGTACCACCGTAGAAAACTTCAGTCTTAACATCTGGCATATATTTAGAAAAACGAGAATATTCGTTACGGATTTGGTAAGCCAATTCTCTAGTGTGACAGATAACCAAAGTAGAAATTTCACCTGGAACCGGGTCTAATTGCTGTAAGGTAGATAAAACAAAAACAGCTGTCTTACCTAAACCAGACTTAGCTTGACATAAAACGTCAGTACCTAAAATAGATTGTGGGATACAAACTTGTTGAACTATAATAAATTTTGTTAGTTTAAATGCTTAAATATTCAAAGAATTTAAAATGGAATGATGATGCTAGACATGCAACGTTAAATTCGTTCTTCTCTGACCAAAGTATGGATAGCGCTGGGGCCGCTCTGATTATGGATCCTACCGCTATCCATCGAATATTACTTTTTCTTGGGTTTACATTATGCGACCCAATTTAGTCATCTTAATGCTAGTTCAAAACACTAATCAGTCAATTTTTAGATAGATGATCCTTATCAATTACGATAGGAATGCTAATGCTAGGAATTCGATACAAGCCATGCACAGCTTCATTCGATTTTCTTCGGCGCTAATAATCCCCGAATCTAATGCATTACAATAGTGAAGAAGAATGCAACTTAACGTAAATGTCAACCATACCACGCCATCTCATTTCTTTATTTAGATGAAATCAATTACGAACCTTCTGAAGGATGTTCGAAACCACAGTCTCCAATGGCTCTCAATAATTCTGGTTTCAATAAGAAATCTCTAAAACCAGTGGCATGAATACCAACATAAGAACCCTTTTTATCAGCTTCTTTGTCGTTGGCGCCTTCACCAGCAGCAACACTTGGTGCTGTGGTGGTTGGAACGGCGATTTCTTCAGAATCTGAGTAGTCTAATAACTCTTCTTGTCCTTCGTGTGACATTATTTAGATTGATTTATTGATATATTAGTATCAATTAAACGTAACCGCTAGATGTTGTTAGTTGTTAATTGTTTAATTGTTGACTTTCGTGGCAGACTTGACGTGTACTTGTCAAATAAATATTTCGGTTGTAACACTACTGATAATTTCCTCAATGCATCCTGGAGCTAATGATAGTGAAGAGATAGTTGAACAAGGTAGAGGTATCATTCACATAGGTCATATTACAGAATGTTAAGACTCAGCTTTTGTAAGATACGTAGCATTTCCGCAAAAAGTGTTCCAATTTCCAGGAACATAGCATCCAGACATCTTGCAGCTGCTAAAAGACCTATTGTGTACCAAAGAACGTATGCGTCTTCCTCCAAACCAGATGATGTACTGGAGGAGGCCCAAAGAGTTGGCAATCTTATCAACGTTTTCAGACAAAATCCAGAAATAAGATCTTTATTAGATGACTTTCAAAATTTATTGGCTGAGAAAGGTCTTCAACCAGACGGCAAACAGCCAACGATGTTTCAAATGATGAAAATCTTGGCTGATAAGGACGTAAAGGCATCATTATTAAAGCTCAAAGAGGCGTTGGATGGGGCCAATATTCAACTTACACAGGACGATCTTAATGCATTCATGAACCTCTATGGGTTGAAAAAATAATAATTACGGAAATAGGCATAGCTTTGTATAGTCAATAGAATCCGTATATATTAGAGTATGGAGGAAAATATATGGATGGGATTATTTCTTTTTAGCAAAGGAGGCGGAAATGTTAGCAGCTTCTTCGACGGCTCTTGCAATACCTCCCCTAACACCTGCATCTTCCATTTTTAGTAAGCCACCAATTGTAGTTCCACCAGGAGTACAAATTTTACTCTTTAAAGCGGCAGGATGTTCACCAGTTTCTAAGACCATCTTTGCAGTACCTTCCATAACTTTAGCGGCAGATTCTTTCGCAACAGCATATGGAAGCCCCATTCTAACACCACCATCAATCAATGCTTCCATAATCAACAAGCAGAAAGCAGGTCCAGAACCGACCAATGCAGTGGCCGCATCCATGTTCTTTTCTGGTAATTTCATCGCCTTTCCAACAGGATCAATCAACTTCATGACCAAATCAGAATACTTAGACTCAGCTTCATCTGAGAACGAAACAACAGCCATGCCACAACCAAATTGAGCTGGAGTATTAGTCATAACCTTGGCAACATATGGTGACATAATGCTTAATTCCTCAATTGTGGTACCAGCTAATAACGAAATAATCAATTGAGCACCACTTAACGAACCTTTGACCTGTTCGTAGACATCTTTGAACATAAATGGCTTACATCCCAAAATCACAATATCTGCTTTTGAAACAGCCTTATTGTTCGACTCTGGCCCATACGAGGTTTCTATTAAATCGTTACCTAGTTTTGATTTTAATTCAGCCGACAGTTTTTCGGAATTGGTACAACATATAATCTTTGATGGGTATGGTTCAAACTTGGCTTTGAGAATAGCTGAAGTAACAGCTGTACCCATAACACCGCATCCTAAGACAGCAATAGTATAATTTTCCATATTTGACTTTCCAATTGTTCTAAATATCAATAATTTAGAGGATTACAGTTTTCATTTCTATTATCACCAATTCTCATATTTCGATAGTCGCTTGCAAATTCCGTTTACGTCTCACATACACATAATTTTTTTATGCCTACAATGCTTTAAATATACGCTACAATACCATACACACTTAAGACCACTATCTAGTTATAAATCTCGTTCACATTAACCAATTTCATATGTTATTGGTTGAATTATAGAAGCACATTGAAATTCCAACAGGGGCACACAACGCACTCAGTACGCATTTACCGAATTTCTTGAACCTGGCGAAATGAAGATAATTCAATGTAGGTACTTTGTTTCATCTAAAGCTGCTGAATTAAGTAATTTGTTTATTCTGATATACGTATCACATACTGCATAAGCTATAGATTTGAGCTACATTATTATTGTAATTTCGGATTTGAAGTTGCAGGATATATTCGAATTAAAACTATTCATTGCTTCATCAAGTTACAGTGCGATTACCGATATTGTTAGACAGTTTTAGCTTTTCATAGAATTTGCAATAAAACTATTGAATTTGACTAATAGTTGGAGGAAAGACATCTCTCGAACATAGAGAAAATAAGGTCTTATTTTCTGCTGAAAAAAAATTGGATTTTGCTAAGAAGATTGTGATTTAAAGCCAATGACGTTCAATAAGGATTTGCTCGTACCATGTTCCGTAGTGACTCCTACTATGGAAGAGTTTTCAGATCCCATTAAGTACCTATCTAGCGAAGAGGTTGCAAAATTGGGATCTGAATATGGGTTAATTAAAGTGGTACCTCCTAAAGGTTGGCAGCCAACATTTCTGATTTCGCCAGAGTTTAAATTTCACACCAGGTTACAGAAGTTAAGTGATCTTGGATTAACTACCAGAAGCAGAAAGTTTTTTATTGATAATATTAATCGCTTTATGAAAATGAGTCGTAAACGACAACTTAAATTGTATTTTAGGGTAGGGCTTAATGATGAAAAAAAATTTAGCCCAACGAGAACCAAAGTGTACTATTATGATCTACATGTAATGGTTGAAAAGATGGGAGGTTATGAAAATATGAACGAAGATAAATGGGCACAAATAAATGATCATTTTGGGTTAAAAAAGGAATCTACGCATATTGAAGACGAATATTCAATCAACCTAAGATCTTATGCAAATTTTCTTTCAAATAACCAAAAAAACTATGACTTTCCTGAGAGTGATTCTGATGATGATTACGATAACTGCTTGATTTGCGGGAAGCATGATGATCCGTCGCAAACTTTGCTATGCGATAATTGTGACAATCCATTTCATTTGTCATGTCTAGAGCCTTCTCTAGAAACTGTACCTGCTGGTAGCTGGTATTGTGACAAATGTCTTATAGGAACAGGAGAGTATGGTTTTGAAGAGCAGGTTGATTTGAAGTATTCGGTACCCGAATTTCATCAATTATGCAACGAATTTGAAAAGAAATTCGAACATGAGTATAATAATGACGAGCCATTATCAGTGGACAAGATAGAACAAAAATTCTGGGAGTTTATTGATGTGGAAAAGTCAGACTTAGAAGTGAGGTACGGTGCAGATATACATAATTTAAAACCAGGCGAGATCAGTGGTTTTCCGATGGCCAACACACCAGGAATATCGCCTGAAGATCCAGAAACGAAGTATTACATAAACCATCCTTGGAATTTAACCAAGCTACCATTTGCAGAAGGGTCATTGTTGAACTACATAAATACATCAATATCCGGAATGACAGTCCCCTGGATATATATTGGATCGTTACTTTCCACGTTCTGCTGGCATGTTGAAGATCATTATACGTTGTCTGCTAACTACTGTCACTTAGGAGCAACAAAAAAGTGGTATGGAATACCGTCTAATAATGCAGATAAGTTCGAGAAGTTAATGAAGGATTCGGCTCCAGACTTGTTTCAAAAACAACCCGATTTGTTGCATCAGTTAGTGACGCTATTATCTCCAATGACGTTAGTCAAAAACGGAATCAAATGTGTCTATGCTGATCAGCGCCCCAACGAATTTGTTATTACGTACCCCAGGGTTTACCATGCCGGATTCAATTGCGGCTTCAACTTCAACGAAGCGGTGAATTTCACGATGAATGCGTGGCTTGGATTCGGAGAGAGGTCAATTAGAGACTACAGGCTTATCAAGAAGGAAAATGTGTTTAATCATTATCAATTGGTGGAAAACATATTGAAGAAGATCAACAACCAGGACCATATAAACTATGCGAACCTCAGGTTGGCAGAAGCTAGCTTGAAATGCTTGCAGGAATTTGTTGACACCCAATCGAAGTATCTCAGCATGATTGATATCAGTAAGTTTGAAGTCAAATTCGAACCCAAGTTGTTCAATCAACGGAAGTTCGAGGATGAGCAGAACGGTACATTCGCGGCCACATCGGAACAAGAAGACGAAGAGGACTTATGCGACGTCTGCAGGACCCACATATCGTTCCAATATTGCATCATCAACAACAAGGGTCGTAACTTATTCTCGACACATGGGGTCACTGGCGAGTCGCTCGCTCCTCCCCATGCCATACCACCCGTCACCCTGTTTAAGCAAGAGCTGCTAGATTTCCCCAAGATCCCAATCCACCAGCTTCTCACCCCTGAATCATCGCCCCATGAGCTCCTGGTGCCCCAGGCCACCCCTAAAACCCTGCACCGCATCTCCGATTCGTCATCCGCCACCAGACTCTCGGCCCTCAGCGAATCATCCATCACCAGCACGCCGCAAAAGCTCAGCGAGGAACAGGAATTCCAGAACCTTATCCGAGCTGCAAAACGCTCATCGTCGCCACACCCCACGCCTGGCAAAATTGACAAGACAGCCCCCAAGAGACGCAAGTCGTCGCGTATCGAGTCCCTCTCCAAGAAAGCCCATCTCACCTCCTTCGCTGCCCGTACCTTGCGCGACCCCCGTCGGGGCAAAATGTCCGCTGTCCAAAACAACTCCCGTTTCAAGCACCTCAACGACAAACCCCAGATCCGGCTCTGTCTCGCGTGTCTCGTATCTTCGTGCCCGAAGTCTATCCCTTCAATTCCTCCAGGCTCCATAATGTTGTATGAGGTAGATCCGTCCACCATGCTGCAATTCATTTCCCAAACATCTCGCAAAATAGCCCTCCTCTCTACAAACGTATAGTCTAGCCAATACATATTTTGCAGTAAATCCTAACTAAAGAACGGTTCCGGCAACTTTGTTTCCGACTGCATACAGTCCACAATCGGATTTGAGCCGGGTAATCCCATTTTTTGCCCAATAAAATTATCGTTTGGATCCGGAGTGCGATTCACTAGCAATACGGGACTTTGATTGGCGGGAGAGGTCGTCGAGGTAAAATGTGTGCCAACCGTCGGTGTTACCATATTAATTTGATTTTAATTCTCTAAATCTTTGTTTCTTATTTAAAGAATACTTGAATACGTTTAGTCTTTAAATTACCAAAGTTAATAACGATGGTTTTTCCAAGATTGTTTAACTCTGCTTCACGCAATGCTTTCACTGCTGCTAAGCGTAACTTTGTTTTCAACAGAGGTTTAGCTTCAGCAGCTCCAGTCGCCGGTAAGGTTAGGTATGTAAAATTTTTAGGATGAAAAGTCAATCAATCGGACGAACACAGTCAATTCAAGCCATTGGGGGAGAATGGAGAGAGGTGAGAGAAGAATAGGGCGAATTGGCGGTGCATTTGGCCGATTCGACGGTGCAATTGGCAAATAAGGACGCGGAGAGGAGAAAAGGAAGAAAGGGAACATGGGCCGTACGGAGTCCACGAAAAGAAGAGAACACCATCCTTGGAGAGCGACGAAGATAATTCGCTATGTGAGAGATGGATAGAAGTGGTGGTGTAGAGGAGACGAGTAGGGGGCCATATCATATAGGCGCCTAGGCGAGCTCGACCAATGAAATTTTTCACTTTTCGCGATCCGGGCCAATAGCATTTTGTACCGTGGTGGAGATTGGCACCACAATATAAATATATTTATGGACCATTATACTAACTGAGTGAATTATAGAGCCGTTATTGGTGCTGTTGTTGATATCCAATTCGACGAAGGTAACTTACCAGCTATTCTTAATGCTTTAACCCTTAAGAACGGTGACCAAGACTTAGTCTTAGAAGTCGCCCAACATTTAGGTGAAAACACCGTCAGAGCTATTGCTATGGATGGTACCGATGGTTTAGTTAGAGGTGCTCCAGTTAACGATACCGGTGCTCCAATTTCTGTTCCTGTTGGTCGTGAAACCTTAGGTCGTATTATCAACGTTATTGGTGAACCAATTGATGAAAGAGGCCCAATCAAGACCAAACAAAAGAACCCAATTCACGCTGATCCACCTTCGTTCGTCGAACAATCTACTTCTTCCGAAGTTTTAGAAACCGGTATTAAGGTTGTCGATTTATTAGCCCCATACGCCAGAGGTGGTAAGATTGGTTTATTCGGTGGTGCCGGTGTCGGTAAAACCGTTTTCATTCAAGAATTGATTAACAATATTGCTAAGGCCCATGGTGGTTTCTCTGTTTTCGCCGGTGTCGGTGAACGTACCAGAGAAGGTAACGATTTATACCGTGAAATGCAAGAAACTGGTGTTATTAACCTTGAAGGTGATTCTAAGGTCTCCTTAGTTTTCGGTCAAATGAACGAACCACCAGGAGCTAGAGCTAGAGTTGCTTTAACCGGTTTAACTATTGCCGAATACTTCAGAGATGAAGAAGGTCAAGATGTCTTGTTATTTATTGATAACATTTACAGATTCACCCAAGCTGGTTCCGAAGTCTCTGCTTTGTTAGGTCGTATTCCATCTGCTGTCGGTTATCAACCAACTTTAGCCACTGATATGGGTTTATTACAAGAACGTATTACCACCACCAAGAAGGGTTCCGTTACTTCTGTCCAAGCCGTCTATGTCCCAGCTGATGATTTAACCGATCCAGCTCCAGCTACCACCTTCGCGCATTTAGATGCCACCACTGTCTTGTCTAGAGGTATTTCCGAATTAGGTATTTACCCAGCTGTTGATCCATTAGATTCCAAGTCTAGATTGTTAGATGTTGCTGTTGTCGGTAAGGAACATTATGACGTCGCTTCCGGTGTCCAACAAACTTTACAAGCTTACAAGTCTTTACAAGATATCATTGCTATTTTAGGTATGGATGAATTATCTGAACAAGATAAGTTAACCGTCGAAAGAGCTCGTAAGATCCAAAGATTCTTGTCTCAACCATTCGCTGTTGCTGAAGTTTTCACTGGTATCCCAGGTAAATTAGTTAGATTACAAGAAACCGTCAAATCTTTCAAGGAAGTCTTAGATGGTAAGCATGATCACTTACCAGAAAATGCTTTCTATATGGTTGGTGGTATTGAAGATGCCACTGCTAAAGCCGAAAAATTAGCTGCTGAATCTAAATAAGTCTAATTGCTCCAATGAAAGAAAATGATATATGACTTGAAGTTTAATTTATTTTGACATATTATTCAGTTTAGTTTTTGATAAAAATATTACGTTTATTTAGAATTGTAAATGCAAAAATTTATTATATTTTTCTAGAGTAGATAAAGTTGGTTCTTTCGATTTTGAAAACAACACGTCGCACCGACAAGTGCTCGGAGAGCGGCAAATAAATGGAAGTGATCTTTTGATATCTTTACTTTTTCAATATACTATTCTAGAATACTATGTTTTCCTTAGCAAATGTACGTATTAATTCACATTGTAGCCAATTATCATACCGTGGTTATTTATGGTTCAAATACTAACTAATATAGTCATTTTCGTTTCTTGATAGTACCAGTATTAATTGGAAATCCATTATAGTAGGATTTACTGTTGGTCAGTTTTTATTTGAAAACTATTTAGATTACCGTCAGTACCAAGTCTTGAAGAGAAGAACCCCACCAGATACGTTAAAGGCCGAAGTTTCACAAGAAACATTCGATAAATCACAAGATTATTCCCGTGCTAAAGCTAAATTTGGCTTCCTTTCAGATTCGATTAACTTACTCCAAAATTTAGCTATTATTAAGTATGATTTGTTACCAAAGTTTTGGAACATTGCTGGCGCTTTAATGGCCAAGAGTTCTTTTATTCTTCCAAAATTTATGGGAGGTATCATTACCCAGTCATTATTTTTCTTATTTTCCACTCAGATTATTAGTACAATTGTTTCGCTTCCATTGTCTTATTATTCTAACTTTGTTTTAGAAGAAAAGTATGGATTCAACAAGCTTACTGTTGGATTATGGCTTACTGATAAGGTCAAGGGCATTGCTTTAGGTATTGCCCTTGGATCTCCTGTTGTTGCAGCTTTCTTGAAGATTATTGACTATTTTGGTGATTCTTTCATCTTGTATACCTGTGGATTCCTTTTTGTAGTTCAGTTGGTGGGTATGACTATTTTCCCAACTTTGATTCAACCATTGTTTAATAAGTTTACAACCTTAGATGAAGGCGAATTAAAAACCGCTATTGAAAACTTGGCATCTGAACAAAAATTCCCGTTGACCAAATTGTATGTCATCGACGGTTCAAAGAGATCTTCCCATTCTAATGCTTATTTTACTGGTTTACCATGGAGTAAACAGATTGTTTTGTATGATACTTTAATCAAGCACTCAACCAAAGAAGAAACTGTCGCTGTCTTGGCTCACGAAATTGGCCATTGGAAATTGTCACATTTACCACAAATGTTGGTCTTCTCCCAAGCTCATTTATTCTTAAGTTTCTCTATGTTTTCTGCTTTTATTCATAACAACTCCTTGTACTCTTCATTTGGGTTTACTTCTGTTCAACCAATTATGATCGGATTCATGTTATTTAATGATATTTTCCAACCAGTTGAATGTGTTGCACAATTCGGTATGAATTTATTATCAAGAAAGAACGAATATGAAGCAGATGCATACGCTAAGAAATGTGGCTACTCAGATGATTTGGCCAAGGCATTGATTAAATTATTGAGTGAAAACTTATCAACAATGGATGCTGACTGGTTGTATTCCTCGTACCATCATTCTCATCCAATTTTATCTGAAAGATTGCGTGCCATTAATTACGTTTCTAAAGAGAAAGTTGGTAAGAAAGATGAATAAATTATGAGTCGAATATAATAATATTGATTTCGTCATCTATTATACATATATACTAAAAATATATCTTTGTTAACATAAACTCGTTAATATGTAGTACTTCGTTTGAATTTGTTATGTAATTCATAATAAGCTGCTCTCATCTGAACATAACCTAAATGTATTTTACCGATTAAGTGGTCAGCTAACCGTCTATCACTATCTAATCTTGATAAATACGCTCCACATTCTTCACAAACCTGTAATTTCTGCTGAGATGACTGACCAACGTTTTCCGCAATATTTCTGGCGGATTCCGCAAGCTGGTCTCTTTCTTTGCATAAGTCATTCAATTTAACACTTTCGAATAAACATTTCAAAGTTTCATTTTCTTTAATTAAACAGTCAATTTCTTGCGTCATTAAGCCTATTTTTGTATCCAAATTATCCAACTCCTTCGTCACCTTAGCGATTTTTTCTTTTTCTTCTGGGGTATGTTCCAAGCGCTTCAAGGCTATTTCTATGTTTCGATCTATTTCATTTATATAAGTCTGTAGATGCTTATAGTATTCATATTCAAACTCGGGAAAAGTCTCACCTTTCTTTCTAGTCCTGTACTCATATTCTAACTTGTGCTTCTCGAGATGTAATTTTGGACATTTTCCTAGATCTTGCTTCGTTCCAATGAATAAATCGTGTGGGCAAACTCCAACTAAAAAACTTTTGCACACCCTATGACTCGTCATTTCTGGATCTCTTCTCTTTACCGCTGGCGATATCAAGGCATCTTTACCCATCAATTGCTCTACGAGCTTTCTTTGTTCTTCTGCCATATATTCTGCCTAGTGTTAGCGTCAGCTCCAAATTGCAAACTAAAATTGTAATTTTCATATTGGCCTTAATGCCTGGTCGTGTATACTACAAATCATTTACTTGCACTATCATTAACCCCGTAATGTTTTCAACCCTTGCTAAAGATAACTATATTCACCATTTCTGGCTTGATATCTACGTCGCTCAACAAGCCTCAAGAAATAGTTTCGTATTGACTGGTGTAGTACGGAATTAAAAAAAAAAAAAAAAAATCTTGAGATATATGATTCCATGTGAGGATAGTTAACAATTGATATCTACAAGAGAACTTTTATGTGGATAAACTGAAGCCGTATCATTAGATGAACGGTCAATGACTCGGATATTCTGTATCTAACAACTTTTGATAATAATCTTGACGATTATTTGACAATTAGTTTGACAAGTTGACTTTATTCTCTGCATGTTCCAAAATTCGCACTTATCTAATAACTGACTGGAATTACGAAAGATAACCCAATACACATTCATTCTTTTTACGTTTCTTTACATTAAAACAACAAAGTGTTATAAAGAACTCAAATGAAATTATGAAGAAATATCAATTAATAGGACGTAAAAAAGTCTTCACTAAATCGAAAGCAAGTGTGAACTACCCAACAGCACATCTATGTTCATTACCAGTTGAGATATTGTTGGAGATATTTAATTGCTTTGAAAATGACTTGAAAACGTTATTGAAGTTATCTTTGGTTTGTAATAAGTTTCATTTAATAATCAATAAAAATTTTCTTTACAATAATATGATAATTACTACTCCTAGGAGGTTTTCCAAGTTTAGTCAAACTCACTTACCTAGTGCATCTTATTCCATTACAAGAAGGTTTGGGCATAATGAACCGAGCAATAACATAAATTTGGTAAGATCCGTCCATTTCATAAATCCTCCTACCAGAAATTCTACTAACCGTAAGACAAAAATTGCCGGGACATACGATGTGGAAAGTGTTCAAAGCACAGATGAAGAGGCCAGTTTCGATGAGTACATTTATTCATTTATAAGTTTACTTAAAGAAGCATATGGACTAAAAACAATTACTATAAGTGAAATAGCTCCTGAGTTTTCATTTCCCCATGATATACCGTGCGATACATACAGTGTATTTTCTAGTTTCAAATCAAAAAGACCGCCTAGAACCTTAGGCAAATTGGTCCTAAAAGTACAAAGCGGCTGGTCAATACCGTTTAGAACTAGCCACATATCATCGTTATTTAACGTCTATGGTGCGATCGATGAATTAGTCTTACATAATTTTGTTCTTGATGATCTGAAATTGACTTCAAATTCATCGAAGATTGGTGGTATCAACAAATTGACTTTATTCTCTTGTATTTACTCGAATAGTTTATCTAAGAAGGTGCCGAACCAGAGAAAAAGATGCCCAGAAATCTTTACCGAAGTTACAGAGTTAAGATTATTGAATATTCTATCAGGAAGTGACTTATCGGTTATTGATGTTATAAAGCAAAACGGAAAATTGTCGAAATTAACTTTAGATCTTGACTCTCAAGTATTCTACCTGATGACAAAAAATTCTAGCATAGAAAAGCAATTCAATTTTGCTAGATATAATCTTTTTTTTAAATTACTTTGTTCAGGTCAAGGATCTTATGCTAATCTAACTGAGTTAGAGCTAATAAATTTTGACCTTTTTGATAGTTTTAGACATAAGCATAAAACAAAAGAAGAGGATGAAGATAATGATGACTGGATTGCTCCTCTGACAGATACTTTCGAAACATTGTTGACTTATTTATCAACTATCCAGAACCTTACAATTGTATTGAAGGAAAGGCCCAAGAAAGTTCGTACTTGTATTAAATGTGGCTTTACGAAAAGTGAACGGCCAGACAAGAAGATTCATTCATTGAATAATAAAGAATGGTCGATTTTGCTAAATCCTTTATTGTCAGAAAATGAAGACTGTACAGTAAAGTTATTCGATCATAGGGGTAATAGAGTCTTTGTAAGGTCTAAATATATATGAATATTATTAAAGCCAAAGAGTAATTTCTAATACTATGAGATAAACCAATAATTTACTTAGTAAGTTATGTATTGATAGGGAAGACCCGGCTGCAGAAATTGTTAGTATTTATTTGGTTGACAATACTCATCTGAAACCCTAGGTAAGTTCAAATGACAATTCTATTTTCAAGATAGGATAAAACGGTATACTTACAGTTACGCTTTTTATCATTCTTATTAGTCCTGATTATTTCTGCTCCTGACATATGATCAAAAATTATTTCCATAGAATCGTCGACAGCATAGGGTTCTCCTTTATAATTTAAGATATTGTAACTGGATATTAAATCATCTGCATTAAGTTCAACATACTTACCTCTTTCGACATCTATGTCAGAACTCATAATATTATTTGCAATTTTAGGAACTGCTTTAGCTATATCCAAGTTTGAATAAGTTTTCTTACATTTCGGTAATGATGATTTTTGGCTTCCCTTTAGATTTCCGAGCGTATTCTGTATGAATTGGTCATTGTTGATAGGTGGGAGAGATTCAAATTGCGATTTTAATGCTATAAAATCAGGTAGCACTTTTATATCGCCATTATCCAATATGCTAACCAAGCCATAATTATTTGGTTCTTGGGAATATTCATATACTAATCCACCGCTAAATATTTTGTTCATCTTTGTTGAATATAATGTTTGAACTTCGTCAAACCTTCTAGGAAGTACTTCATTGCACCCATATCTAATGATTTGTTAGTATTGGTTCTTGTGATCTTGGGAAAAATTTACATACTCAGAGAGGAAGACCGGCCGGGAAAAAGAACTATAATCATTGGCAAGAATATTATATCCACTGGTGTAGAATGTCTGTTCTCCACACCATTGATATGAATTAACCCCATAAAAATCAACTGAATCTGCTACACTATTGTCAACACATTCAAGATATTCTGAAAATGAAACTCGGTAATTTAAATCATCAGCTGCAGAATATCCTACAGGTATTTGACGAGGTGAGTTATAGTCAATATATTTTTTGAGGTTACGTATTACCGCTTTAACGTACGTGGGCGAATTCTAAAATCATATGTTAGTTTTCTGTATGAGCTTGATTCATACTACCTATACATACTTTGGCTGATATTTTATCATTGACTATTTCGTTTCCTGCGAAGAAACCAAGAGTATTATTGTAATATGAAAATTGTTCCACTACTTTATAGATATTTTTCAAATATTGCTCATTATATGTCTTCCATGGCTCATTTCTATTTAAATGATGATTGGGCAAAGGTGAATTCACGTCGAGAACCAAATAAATGCCCGCTGCGGCCAACATTGACATACATCTATCGTGGTTAAGGTCAGCATTAATCGAGTAAATACGAATGGTCTAATCCTTGTTAGTATCCTTTATGTAGTCCTTTAGATAAATATATACATACATTAATCCCCAAATCTTGAAGCATTATTATATCTCGAACACATTCTTTTGGATCTGATAAAGGATCCTTAGTATCCGTAACTCCTGAAGAACCACCTGGTTGGTAATCAACTCCTTTGATAAAAAACTAAATGGTTAGTTAGTTGAATTCCCGAATCTATAAACGTATAAAACATACCGGCTCCTGTGTGACGCTGTCAACAAAAGACTTTCCTCGTATTGTAATTGGGTGAATGAAGGCTCCTACAGACTTCAAAATTAAGCATATAATAACAAGAAAACATCTCATATTGAACTATCTATTATGTTAAAGAGAAAGAAGAGGTAAATGTGGAAACCTAATACGACTTTAAATAGTTGCAAAAACATGTACACAGAAGTGCAACCTCAAAAGTTTATCTTAATTAGTACAAAAAATTATTCGATTAATATTTTAAACAATAATAGAAAGAATACTACATAATAAGCATCAGCATTTTTAATCGTTGAAGACTACATAGGAACACTATACCCAATATATTATAAAAGCATTAATGGAAGGGCTTAACAAGAAGATCAAATATACCATATTAATCTTTGTATAAAAAAATAGGTACTTTAAAAGTATATCAACCTGCCTGCGTAGCGTAATGGTTAACGCGTTTGACTTCTAATCAAAAGATTGCGGGTTCGACTCCCGCCGTGGGTTTGTTTTATGCGGATTTAGCTCAGTTGGGAGAGCGTCAGACTGAAGTCAACTTCAGTCCAGTTAATCTGAAGGTCCTGTGTTCGATCCACAGAATTCGCATGAACTTTTTTTTGATTCTAAAGTCAACTTAGAAAGAAATAAAAAAGTTTATTATAAATTAAAGATTACTAAATACCTGGTAATAGTGTCATCATACTATTCTTATATTTCAACGTATTTCAGAACAGAGACCAAACCACTTTCTTTATTAGCCCAGCTAACATAATTGGGACTGTAGTGCAATACTTCACTATAAGCAGGGATTCTTTCATCCTCTGTTTTATTCTCATTGTTGCCGTAACCTAAATTACCCCAAAAACATTCAATCTGTATTCCTAAATTGTTAAAATCTGTCGAATATGGAACATCGTTATTTTCATTTTCAGCCAGAATAGAATCCACGAATTTAGGCATCCACTGGAATCCAACATGATAAGGCTTATCCCAAGACAATTTGTTTAATTCTAGTTTATCTATTCCATTCAAATTCTTGAAAATATATGTACCCTTTTTATCTCTGGAGAAACCTTCTGGAAGGTTAGCTAGTTGAAGTTCTGACATTTCGAACGGAAACAACTTGTTTGACGAATTCTCATAATTATTGTCTTCATATACTAAGATGGTTCTGACTAGGCTTTGTTTTGAATTTTCAAAGTTTGAATTATTGAAAGACAAGCGACAGACCCTATTTTCTGGTACATTGATTTTTATCTCCCCTGATAATAAGCCATAACGGTAGTCCGAGGAGGAATTTTTCAACACTTGTACATCTAAATAGTCATTAAAATCAGTTACATCAGACGATAAATTAGGCAGCAACAGACTATTATATGAACATACCTGCATACCATCTTGTAAGTGCTTACACTCTAAGGATTCGTTAGTTTCTTTAAGAGATGGTAAATCAAGCAAAACATTATTCATTGGAGATCTGTATCTTCCAAAAACATTAACAACACTTATATCTGAGGATTCATCCAAATTAATTGACTGGACAAATCTCAATTTCAAGGGATTTAATTGATCAAATGGGGATTTCAAAAATATGCTAATAAATCCCAGACAAAGAACTAAGACTAATGCTGTTACTAAGAGTCTATTAATCTTGAAAATAAACGGTAAGAATGGTATAGCTAATGTTACTGCAACTAATTGAATTAAATCGAAAATCAACTTCTCTGCATTAAGTGATTCCTGAATCGACTTATTCAAACCGCTCAACAATAGCGAACCTGTGTTATAAACAATTAATGAAGATAATGGAACGATGACAATATATTGAATAGACCAGTCATAACTGAATGACTTACGCAAATTTTTCACTAGATTATTTGTAACTTGTGACAGCGAGGAATTTAAGGATACTGATGAATTTGACAGAATAGGCTCTTGTGATTCTAATTCTGCTTCATTTGAACCATAGTTGTTATGTTCTTCGCTAGAAAGCAAAGCTTGACAAGCTTCATCATCATTATTTCTAAGTTCATCATGCGTAGTTTTTTTGAAAGACCAGCTAAATAAGCCAAATAATGCACCAATAGACTGCAATAAGAATAGCATAATTAATGGGAACTCTCCAGTATGGTCATTTCCAATTTTATTCTTTGAAAGTTTACTTGTTGAAACTATCAATAAAACCCAATATATAAACGAAGTTTGGATTATTAAGATCAATTTTTCATCATGATATAACCCTTTATATCCTTTAAAGATAAAATTGATACCATTCAAAAATAAGTAATTTAGCAATAAAAACATCGCATACAAAGTAGACACAATCGTACCATATGAAGAATTTGGTAAAAACTCATTGATTGATGCAATAAAGTTGTGAGTAATGATATTCAAAATACAAATGGAAAGCCCAAGGGATACAGGGAATTTAATCGAATTAATAAAGCCAATGCGCCAATTCTTCTTGTAGTTAAAAATAATGACTAAGAGTGGCAAACTTATTAATGGAATAACAGCCAAGCACGTAGCATTGATAAGTACCAACTGTGAAACAGGAATAACAAAGAACCAATTGAAGAAACTCGAGAAGATAGCAAACTCACGATTTGTTTCATCAGATTGTGGGGATGTATCTTCATCATCCAAATCAATACGTTGGGACGAAACAATTTCCACAAAATCCAACGAATTAGATAACATGTGCCACAAGGATTTAATGTCGATATTTTTAATACTATCACTTGCAGTATGATACATATCTCTAGGCTTATAAAATGCCAAGTCAATCCCTCTTATTCCGCCATTTTCTTTATAGATCTTATAATCCGTTTCACTATGGATGAGATGGTTATTAAATCCCTGTTGGAATAAAGACGTTCCGAATGGGTATCTCACATGCTTAAAATATTTAACAATACCATAATCCGTGCCTCTGAACAACACTGCTTTACCACCTGCTCCTGTACCTTCTAGATTCAAGAAGTATCTCACTTGTTTAAACCACGGATGATGCAAGAAGGACGTGGCGCCCATTAAACCAAATTCTTCATTATTGTTAAAATTTAAGATAATAGTACGCATTGGCTGATCAATGCCATCTGAGCTGTAATAATTTAGTATTCCCAACAACGACGCTATACCCATACCATCATCAGTTACACCAAAACTAGAAGGAACTGAATCAAAATGTGCGCTAACTAACAACGCCGGCAAACTGCTATCGCTACCATTTATTCTCACCAACAAATTGTTACTTTCATAATATGTCACTTGATTATACAATTCGTTTTCGGTCTTGAATATGATATTATTGGTGTAGTTCACATCGTTATCGTATTCGATAAATAAACTTTTTGCCATCAATTCCGTGATTTTTGTCTCAAGATAATCATGAACATAATCGTTCCCTTTAGACGTATAAGGATGTTCTTCTTTACCGATTTTCTGCAAGTCTAACCATGAATTATCTAAAATAGTTCTCTCCAAATTATTGGTAGGTAACTTAACAGAAAAATTAAGACTATTGCTCAATTCCACTAAAATTAACGTAACAATGATTGTTATGAATACAAATAACGTAACGGAAGTCTTTCTATACCCAAATACTGCTCTAATAAATCTTATGAAGACATTTGGTGTCGATGACTTATGCGATGATATCTGGTTGCTTTGTTGATGACTCCTATTTCCCGAAGCATTCGAAGGTTCAGATAATCTATGCGGTGGACCGTTTGTAGTCCCCAGTTCGGTTTCCGTCATTTATAACGTAATTAGAATGAAGTTTTCTTATCGTCGGGTTTTATTTACTAGTATAAACATGGCCTGTTTACAGGATGAGGATGGGGAATAATCTTGTCAGGTGCGCACCTTCTTCAAATTCCAAAATCTTATATACTTTCTCTTCAACGTTTCTTAAGCAATTGAAGAATAGATACTTAAAAAAGACGTTAAGATATTAAAAATGCCAGAATTTGCCCCATTAAAGAATGATTTAATTCTTAGAGCTGCTAGAGGTGAAAAGGTTGAGAGACCACCTATGTGGATCATGGTATGTGTACATTTCACTTCTTTAATGCTGATTACGGCTACTAACAATGTAATAGAGACAAGCAGGTCGTTATTTACCAGAGTATCATGAAGTCAAAGGTAAACTTGATTTTTTTGAAACTTGTAGAAATGCAGAAATAGCAGCAGAAATTACTATCCAGCCAATAGAGCATTTCAATGGATTAATCGACGCAGCTATTATCTTCAGTGATATTTTGGTTATTCCGCAAGTTATGGGATTTGAGATTGAAATGGTTGAAGGAAAGGGACCAGTATTTGTGGACCCATTGAGATCGCCAAAGGATTTGTCAAGAGTTAATTACAAGCCCGATATATTGAATGGATTGGATTGGGCGTTCAAAGCAATCACCCTTACAAGAACTAAATTGAACGGACGTGTTCCATTATTAGGATTCTGTGGTGCGCCATGGACTTTGTTAGTGTATATGACCGAAGGCCAAGGTTCAAAAATGTTTAGATTTGCCAAGGAGTGGATATACGAGCACACCGAAGAGGCTCACAAATTATTACAGGCTACAACCGATGCATGTATTGAATTCTTGGCTCAGCAAGTCGTTGCCGGCGCCCAAATGTTACAAGTTTTTGAATCGTGGGCTAGTGAATTAGGACCTAATGAGTTTAATGAATTTTCATTACCGTACTTGCGTCAAATTAGTGAAAAATTGCCAAAGAGATTACAAGAGTTAGGAATTACCGAAAAAATTCCACTTACTGTCTTCGCAAAAGGCGCATGGTATGCTTTGGATGATCTCTGTGATTCTGGTTATGATACCGTTTCTTTAGATTGGTTGTATAAGCCAGAGGATGCTGTTAAAGTGGTCAATGGCAGAAGAATCACCTTACAAGGTAATTTAGATCCTGGTACTATGTATGGTTCCGATGAAGTTATCTCTAAGAAAGTCGAACAGATGATCAAAGGGTTTGGTGGTGGAAAACAAAACTACATTATAAACTTTGGTCATGGTACTCACCCATTTATGAAGCCCGAAAAAGTGGAACATTTTTTGAAGGAGTGCCATAGATTTGGCCTGCAATAGGTA